ACCCCGCCCCCGCCCCCCAGGGCTCACCTGGTACTCAGCATTTTTGACAACACACACGCCCTTGGGCTCTTGGGAAAAAGAGTGACAGCATGTGTCAGAGACAGATCGGGGCCTGCGCCCACGGTGCCTGCCTGTGCCCCCCAGAGACTGAAGCCCCGCCCACGCCATTCTCCTCACCCTAACCCGCAGCCCTGACCCAGGCAGGCTGCCCGATGGTGGCCCTCAGACCCCCTACATCCGGGAACGGGGGCGCTGCTTACCACATGAGTAGAGGGGGCAGCACCTCTCGGGGACTGTCTTGCTCTTCAGCTCAAATCCCAGTTCACACTTAGGGGGCTTCTCCAGACACAGGCTGGTGTTGCACTCTGGGGCAAGGGGTGGGTGCAAGAACAAGGCCATGGCTCCCCCCTCCCCAGGCCAACCCCTGACCCCACAGCCCTCCTCCAACACGTTTCATGGCAGCCTTCCAGGTGGGCCGTCCTGAGCCCCCAGCCTCCAGCTGCAGGCCCTGCCAGGTCCCATGGGTACCCCCCACGACTAGTCCACCCCAGGGGCCATGAGGGACATGGAGGGGACAGCATGCAGCCCAGCCTGCAGGGGACATGCTCAGTGACCTTCGGGACCCAGGAGGGATGCAGTCCCCTAGTGGACCCTGGCAGGGACCCCCTGCCCCCCAGGGGGCCTCTCACTGCAGGCGGTGATGTTACAGCAGGTGTCAGCCGGGTTGACCTCTGTGAAGGGGTAGGTGCCGTCCTCCTGACACCAGATGGCCGGCTGCACGCTGCACTTCTTGGGCTGGCAGATGATGTCTCTCCCGCCCTCCAGGCAGAGACAGTCTTTGCAGTCGAACTGAAAGTGCTCCCCAAACTGTGCGGGAGAGGAGGGGGTGAGCAGGGAAGAAGGGCAGCTGTGGCTTGGGCTGTGGTCAGCTGCAGTGGGCAGCCCACTGAGGGGTCTCATGGGAAGCCTGTGCCCCTTCCCACCTCTGGGCGGAGGGGTAGCTGCTCAGTCAGGGAACTGGCCACTAAGAGCACATAGCTGTGACCGACATCAGGGTTGGCCAGCACAGGCCTGGCATGTGATGGGTGCACTACACGTGTCTGGTGGGTTTGTACAGGATCAAGCAAACAAATGGACCGGTGACCACAGATAAGGAAACAAGGGCAACCCTTGGGTAATCAAGGTGTCATCTCAGGTCTGGATAGAGTGTCCTTGGCCATTGGTGGTAGGTGGGTGGCTGGGTGAGTGGATGCGTGGATGGGTGAGTAAATGGTTGGATAGGTGTGTGGCTGGGTGGTGAGCTGATGGATCAGTTGGTGCAGTGGACGGATGGCTGGGTGGTGAGTGGAAGGAAGGGTAGGTGGCTGGGTGGGTTAGTGAGTGGGTGGGTGAGTGGGTGGGTGTATGCATGTATGGGTGGATGGATGGCTGGATGAGTGGATGCATAGGTGGGTGGATGAGTGGGTGGGTGACTGGGTGGGTAGGTGGATAGATGGATGGGTGGGTGGATGGATGGGTAGGTGGATAGATGGATGGGTGGGTGGCTGGATGGGTAGGTGGATAGATGGATGTGTGGGTGGATGGATGGGTGAGTGGATAGACGGATGGGTGGGTGGATGGATGGGTGAGTGGGTGGGTGGATATCCCTACTAGTTCAGCTGTCCAGGACCTTAATGACCTGTTCCTCAGTTTTTGAGGCTCCCAGATTCTCAAGTCCTGTCTTCCTCCACACTACCCCAGATCCCCAAATTCTGGGCTTTGGAGAGAATCCCCTCCAGTACAAAGGCGGGGGGTGGGGAGCTTACGGCTCTAGGCACGTTGTCGGGTCCCACACAACCTGGAAGGGGGGAGGAAATACATTCTGTTACCAGAGTCTTGGCCCCCACCCCCCGAGGGGAGCTGGGTCAGCCTCATGGCCTCTGGGGACGCGAGGAGGTGGTGGGAGGGAGGCAAAGCCAGTGGGCAGCTTACCGCAGAACTTCACGCAGACGTCGAAGCCCGGGGCGTAGTTCGTGGTACCCTTGGGACAGAAGCAGCCTTCCACCAGGCCCGTGGCGTTCTGCCGCTGGGGGCTGGGGATGGGGGGTTAGCGTCAGATGGGGGCGTGGACGCGGCTGGACCACTTCGCCCAGATATTGCCACCCGGCTGTCCCTGCCGCACCCCCCCACCCCCACCCCCCCACGCAGCGGCTCACCTGGACTTGCAGGTAGGCTCTTCCGCAGGCCCGCAGGCCTGGTACTCCCGGTGAGAAGGGCAGGTCACCGCTGCAGACGAAGGCGAGTCAGGGGCGGGGCGGGACAAAGGAGCCCAAGCTCTGAGTGACAGTCTTACCGCCCCGCCCCCAGAGAAGCCCCCGCGCTGGCCGGCCATGCAGGGTCGTCCTAAGCGAGGCGAGGCCCGGAGCACGCCGCCCCTCTAGCCGCCCTGGTCCCGGCCTGCCCCTCCCCACCCCGGACAGGAGGGGCACTCACCGCAGGCCCCGTTGGTGCGGGGGCGCCAGTCCACGCAGATGCCCTCCTGTGCACAGAGGGCCGCGTAGGTCTGCAGGCTGGCGCACTCCAAGCCTTCGCCCGGCACGAAGCAGCTGTCATACACGCAGGCGTCGTAGTAGTGCTGTACGGGCGCCAGGGCGTGGCACTTGGTGAACAGGCTGCGGGAGGGCGTGGGTCAGAATCCAGCAGCAGCGACCCCTCCCCTCGCTCCCGGCCCAGCACCTGCCGAGCCGGACCACCCGCACCCAAATGCTGATGCCGGTGGTCTGCCAGGGAGGGGCGACCACAGCCCTGACCCGAGGGGCGTCTGTGACTGAAGACAGGAGCAGAGAATGAGGCCATGGGGGAGGGGGGCGGGACCGTGGCCCAGGGATACAGCTCTGGTCAGGCACCCAAAGGTGGAAGCCTCAGTTTTGAACCACCACCCTGTGCAGGGCCCCTTCCAGCAATGCTGGCAGAGGGCCAACCAGCCTCTGGGGGCAGGAGCTTGCCCCCTGATTGCTGCCAGCTTGCCTGGCAGATGCCCCGGGCTGTCTGCTCCTCATCAGGCCTGGACTAACTCCATGTGGGCCAGCTGATCTACCCCATGCCTCAAGCCAGCTGAGCCTGTGCCCTCCCAGGGGGCAGGTGACATGTAGTAGGGCAAGAAGGCGCAGGCGGGAGGGTTGAAAAGGCAGCTCAGCCCTGTGGGACCAAGTTCCTGCGTCCTGGTGACCCAGCGTCTTGCCTTGCACCATCTCGTCTCCACTGAGGAGGAGAGTGGACCCAGAGAGGTACACAAAGTCCTGCAGCCCCCAGGCACCAGTCCAGGGCCCAGAGAGGCTGGGCAGGTCACCTGTCTTTGAGCAGCTCGCAGAGAGGGGACGGGACACAGGAGGTTGTGTTCCTTGGCGGGGTGACAGTTGGGCTCTTGGTGGTGACCTCAGTGTGGGGGCAGTGTGGCTTGGAGGGGTCGTTCACCACCCAGTCGTCGGCCGAAATCTCGCAGCTGGAGATGACCTCCCCACTGGGCCGCACGCAGTCATCCGCAGTGTTGTTGGTGCATGTGCCTGGGCCATGAGGAGGCCGTCATGAGCCCGCCACGAGCCAAGCTGGCCCACAGAGGGCCACTCTCCACCCCAGCCCCTGCCCTATGACCTGCCCTGAGGAGGAGGGACGCAGACTAGGCCAGGAGACTGGTTCCCCTTGGGGCCGAGCCCAGATGATGGCGGCGGGGCGCCGAGCAGAACAGGAAGCCTACGGGGGCCAGCAGGTACATGCAGACGCTCACACACATGCTCACACACATCCATCCACACACGGGAATGCTCACACACACACTCACCCAGGCACACGTGCTCACATGCACACTCACACACGCACACCCAACCCCTGCCCAGCTGCTGCGCCGACACAAGTTCATTGGCTCACCACACTGGCCCTTGGTGTTGTTGCCAAACAGGCTGTAGGGCAGCTTGATGGAGAAGGAGAGGCCGTTGTAGGAGATGACAGCACCCAGCTCGGGGATGTCCACCACGTAGTTGATGCCCAACTCATACACCTGCAGCCCATACTTCTTGTAGGGCAGCGCCACTACCAGCTTGTTGACCTGCACCTGTGCCAGACAGATGGACACACCAGGTCGGGCGGCAGCCAGCAGCGCCAGGAAGGAGCCACATCGACTGAGCGGGCACCACCCACACTCCTGCTCTCAGCCTTCTGGCCTTCCCTCAGAGCCTCCTTCTCCCTTCGGGCTTCTTTTCCAGCAGGTCCAGGGGTAAACCAAAGGCGGCTCTCCCCTCGGAGCCTCCAGGACTTGGGGCCCCCAGGACACCGGCAGTCAGGGTGTAGTGAGGTCCCCGGTGGAAAAGGCTCAGCTGGGTGAGTCGGGGCCTCACTGCATCCCCTGTCCTCTGGGACGGGGCCTCACCCTGCCACCCCACCATGCCACGCACCTCCACCTTCATGGGTGCCATCTGCACTGTCTTCAGCAGCACCTCCTGTGACTCGTGGCGCACGATGATGGTGCGGGGACAGGAGACCTTGTCGTTGACGTCACAGTGGTAGTTGTCAATGTAGACCCCGAAGTTGTCCACCGTGGGGGCGATCTGTTCCACCAGTACGTACGTGCAGTTGCCCTGGTAGCTGTAGTAGAGCCCATCGAAGGTGACGTAGTGCGGGTCCCCCCAGCCCGTACAATAGCCTGGAGAGGGAGCATCCATCAGCTGGTGGTGCCCGGCCAGTGGTCTGGGGCTGGGACCCAGGACCCAGGACCTGGTCAGGCCAGAAAAGTCTGGTGCCCAGGCATCTGACATGGGGTGCCCAGGTGCATCCCATGGCAGCACACCCCACAGGCCGGGGTGGAGGACGCCCTGGCCTCAGGTCTGGGAGGTTTGGCCTCCAACCCCAGCTCCAGTCCTTCCCAACCTCGGTGGCACCCTCACCCCCTGACCACACAGCACCAGGCAAGACCCTTATTGCCCAGGCCCGCTGCCCAAGGTGGTGGGTGGACAAGGGGACCGGTGACAAGCCCCTCGGACACTGCCTGGTCCCGGCGAACACCCTGCCCTCGGGAGCCACTGTGCCTGACTAGGGTCTACACCCAAGGGGCCGTGGCCGACTCGTCCCGGAGCCCCACTGAGGGGAGCGGGCAGGTGGCCACTCACAGTCACACTCCCAGTGCCAACAGCAGCCGTCAGGATCCATCACTTTCACAGGCCGGAGGCCATTGGTGCAGGTGGGCATGGGTGGGGGCTTGCACTCCACCTTCACAATCTCCACCGTGTTGTCATGTTTGCAGGTGGCCATGTAGCACTCACAGAGGTGCCAGGTCTCATTCTCCTGCAGGCAGTGGAGGACACAGGTCACACAGCTCCCGGGCCACCCAGACTCAGTCCTGCTCCCCAGTAGGGGGTTGGACGCCTACAGTCCCACCCAGGAGGCTGGAGGCCGAGGACAGCTGTGCAGGAGGCCCCTCAGCCCTCCTGTGACAGCCCAGGGGTGGGGCTGTGGACAGCCTGAACAGTGCCTGGCTCCGGGGCGGGGTAGAAACACCCACTCACCACCCACTGACCTGTCGGGGAGGATTAAAGTGAGGGCATCCAGTGGGCTTGGTGGTCGGCAGGGGGGTGGATGGTGTTGTGGAGGGAGGTGTTGACGTGGAGAATGTGCTGGACGGCAAGGGCGTGGACGGGCAGGACCAGTTGAAGAACTCGATGGTGCAGTCCAGGGAGCAGTTCGCGTAATAGCAGAGGTCCCCGTGTGTGCCATTGTACACCACCTCACCTACGGGGGGGCGGGGAACCAGTGGAGAGGCAGGTGTATGCCCTCAAGGGCAGTGCTTGCTGCCCCCATCTGACGCTAACCCCCCATCCCCAGCCCCCAGCGGCAGAACGCCACGGGCCTGGTGGAAGGCTGCTTCTGTCCCAAGGGTACCACGAACTACGACCTGCCCGCTTTGGGGACCTGGGGGGTGTAGCCCTGAGAAAAGTGAGTTTTCCCCGGGCCTTTGGTTAGAGAAATCCTCCCACATGCTTATGTTCTGGGAAACAGCTGGGCTTAAAGAAAGGAGCAAGAAGGTTTCCTGATTGACTCTGGTAAAATAACTTTCCTTTCCCTTCCTTCCTGCCCCTCTCCTCCTTCCCCCCTGGTCTCCTAGGATCCCAGTGGCCTGATCATAAGGAAAGAAAGCGTTCTGTGCCAACGGGACCTATCGCCACCTCAGTGCATACTAGGCAACCCTACCTGCAGTCCCGGGGCTCAAGGGAGGAGGCAAGACAGTCCTGGTGCCTCTCCACCACCACAGAGGACTCTCCCTCATTACAGCTTCTTCGTCCTCCCCTATCCCTTCCCCCTGCCTTGGAGCTCCCTCTTGAATAAAGGCCACCTTTGCCTGTTCTAACTCCGTCCTGTGCAATCAGTTCTTAGGTACGCCACCACCCCCTTCTCTGACCTGAGGCCAACCAGAGTCTGGACTTATAGGAGCCCTGAAACCATGCACCCAGCTTCCAGATTCACCAGGAAGCTCTAGTCTGGACCTTCAAATGGATTCCTAAAGGACTAGCAAAAGAAGGCAAAAACCCACCAGCCTAGACTGTCAGGGGATAAGAAAGTAATAGCATGGATACCTGGGATGAAAAATTGGCCATTCAGATAGCAGCACACGTTCTCGCTGGGGTGGCTGGTCGTGAGGATGACTGTGGGTGTGCTGAGCGATGAGGTGGAGACTCCAGGGGTCTCTGTGCTACTGGTGGTAGTCGCAGAGGTCGTGGGCACACTGGTGCTGATAGGGGGTACTGGGGTCCCTGTACTGGTGCTGACAGTGGGGGTTGTGGTCTCTGTGGTGGTGCTGATGGTGGGGATCTTGGTTTCTGAGGGGGTGCTGATGGTTGGTGTCAGGGTGGTGGTCTCTGTGGTGGTGCTGATGGGGGAGGTTGGTGTCTCCGTGGTGGTGGTAGTGGTGGGGGTCGTGGTCTCTGCGGTGATGATTGTGACAGTGGTGGGCCATTCTGGGGTGGGCGTGGAAGTCGTGATTGTCACTGTGGTGGTGGATGTTGGGGTAGGGGGCTTTGCTGTGGTTGATGTTGGGGGAGTGGTTGGAGTGGTTGATGAAGCGGTGGGGATGGTCGTGGTTGTCACCATGGTGGTGGACTCTGGGGTAGGGGTGGTTGTTGTGGTTGATGTTGGTAAAGTAGTGGGAGTCATTGGTGAAGGAGTGGGGGTGGTCGTGGAGGTCGTGGTTGTCACTATGGTGGTGGATGTTGGGGTAGGGGGGATTGTGGTTGATGTTGGTGGAGTGGGGGGAGTCGTTGAAGGAGTGGGGGTGGTCGTGGAGGTCGTGGTT